CATTGCTATGTGACGACATTGGCCTTCTCTCTCTCTCTCTCTCTCTAGAAATGAAAGAATTGCTTTATCTTTTATTGAACACTAGCCGTCCCCTGCCACGCATTGCTGTGGCCCACATGGGGGTTCTGTGTGGGAGGTTTGGCCCAATTCTATTGTTGGTGTGGTTCAGAATGCTCTGTGATTGTAGGTGAACTATAAATCCCAGCAACTACAACTCCCAAATGTCAGGATTCTATTTTCCCCAAACTCCACAAGTATTCACATTTGGGCATATTGAGTATTCTTGTAGAGTTTGGCCCAGATCCATCATTGTTTGAGTCCACAGTGATCTCTGGATGTAGGTGAACTACAACTCCAAAACCAAAGGACACTGCTCACCAAACCCTTCCAGTATTTTCTGTTGGTCATGGGAGAACTGTGTGCCAAGTTTGGTTCAGTTCCATCGGTAGGGTTCAGAATGTTCTTTCATTGTAGGCGAACTATAAATCCCAGCAACTATAACTCCCACATGACAAAATCAATTTTTTGAGTGAAGGACATACATTGGGTTGTTAGGCGTCTTGTGTCCAAATTTGATATCAATTCCTCTAGTGGTTTTTGAGTTCTGTTAATCCCACAAACGAACATTACATTTTTATTTATATAGATTTAATTACCTTGTGTACAGGTAGTCATAATGGGATATTTACAGTATTTATGTACTTAATAGAAGTGTGTGAAGCGACTGAAATCCGATTTGTAATTCGCTTCTGAGATTCCAAAGGCTTTCATTTCTAAAAATTTCGTAAACAGAGGGGTCCCGTTTCGTTTTGTAATCTGAATCTCCGAAGCTTTGCAATTGTTGCATTCTGGTTCATTCTGTTAGCAGTGATGGGGAAAATTTCAAGGCTCGTTTTTCCGTCGTTGTTATGGCTATCGGGATGAAAATTGGCACATTTGGAGGCAGCATTGATGATTTTTAAGCCTGCCGTGTTTCAGAATGTTTCGGTCACCCACTGATTTTTAGGAATTTTTAATTTTTTAAATGCCAAAACAGACCTCCGAAGCTTTGCACGCTCTAATAGGTATGAACCAATAGCTTTACAACCTCCTCAACAATATAGTGGGACAGTCTTAACCATTGTGGACAAACATAAAGGTGCCAGATATTTTTGTGCACAATTTTAAAGACATTTACAGGGTGCACACCCTCTCTCCCATATACATTTTTATAGCAAAATCAAACCCCTGGCTGGAAGTGATCCAGGTCTAGTATCAACTCTGAAAGAGTCACAGAAACGTGTCAGAAGGGGCTCCAAAGGCCACCTAGTTCAACCCCATTCGGCCATGTGGAAATCCACAATAGAAACACTCCCAAAAGAGGCCCATCCAATCTCTACCTAATCCCATCTCCCTCTGAAGGGAGTCAATTCCACTCTCAAGCAGACGTTCTTTCTAAAATTGAAACAGAGTCAGGCTGCACAGAGAAGCCATTGAAATCCACAAGCATGTGGACAATTTCAACAGAAAGGAAGAAACCATGAAAATGAACAAAATCTGGCTACCAGTATTAAAAAAATTCTAAAATTATATCAGTAAATAAAGAACAACATTCAAATGCAGGGGAACTCCAGACAAGAAATAATCAGGGACAGCTAATCACCTCTCAACAAAGAATTCCCTCAGGCGGTAACAAGCGACACCTAAAAATTGTCAGGCCATCAAATGTGAATCAAGGTAGCCAATTGAAACATTCACACCTAGCTCCAACAGACAGAGTTCTTTCTCCCACCCTGGACTTTTCACAGATATATAAACCCAGTTTTCCTAGTTTCCAACAGACATCACAACCTCTGAGGATGCCTGCCATAGATGCAGGGGAAATGTCAGGAGAGAATGCTTCTAGAACATGGCCATACAGCCCGAAAAACCTACACCAACCTAGTGATTCCGGCCATGAAAGTCTTTGACAATAGATGGAGTCTCTTTTCTTATCAAATATGTGTTTTCATAGTCTTGTGTTTAATCTCTTCATTTTTGCCATGTTGTTCCCTTCCTTGAGCCACCAGGAGTGGCAAGTAGTAGTAGTAGTAGTAGTAGTAGTAGTAGTAGCAGCAGCAGCAGCAACAATAATAATAATAATAATAATAATAATAATAATAATAATAATAATGCAATTTGACTCCACTTTAATGCTGTGGGGTCATGGGAGCTGTAGTTTTACAAGGGCTACATCTCCACTGTAGAATGAATGCCATTCAATGTTCCTTTAACCACCATAGCATAGTACTGTGGGATCCTGGGAGTTATAGTTTTATAAGTACTTGACCCTCCTCTGTTCAAACGTGCCAAATGACAACTCCTTGAATTCCGTTATGTTGAGCCATGGCTGGTAAAATGGTATCAAACTGCATTAATTCTGCTGCATAGGTGCCCCCTTGGAGATCTGGAATTGCCTTTGGAAAAGAGCTTGGAAACAGCGCGTTTTTCTCGTCTTCTGGGATGTGTCAGCTCTGTAAAATAATTGTGGTGGCGCAATGGGTTAAACCCTTGTGACGGCAAGACTGCTGACTGAAAGGTCGGCGGTTCAAATGCAAGTAGCAGGGTGAGCTCCCATCTGTCAGCTCCAGCTTTTCGTGCGGGGACTTGAGAGAAGCCTCCCATAGGATGGTAAAACATCCCGACGTCCCCTGGTAAACATCCAGATGGCCAATTCTCTCACACCAGAAGCGACTTGCAGTTACTCAAGTCGCTCCTGACACCAAAAAAAAAAATTAATCCATTGGTTCGTGTTTTTGCTCCAGCTCCATCTTCTTGGCATCCCTTTGGCTCTATAAAGATATCTCTCTCTTTACCTTCTAGTTCAACATCTCCAGCTTCCTTTGTTATTCCTTATCATTATTTTATACTATATAGAAGAATAGGTGTTCCTAAAAGATTTGAAGATGAAATCGTTTCTCCTAAGAGTAGGTTTCCCAAGTGTTGATCATCTTGGTGGTTCCTCCCCCCCCCCCCAAACTGTCCCAATTCGTTCGTAGATTATGGATAGTTATTTAGTCTTTTCTTAAAGTCGAGAGGCATCTGTGACTTCTCAAAGCATTTGTGTACACTTAATATTTCGTCCAAATCTCCTTTCAGCCTTGAGTTCTTGTCTTGTCATCTGGAGAAAATTTGCTCCAACTGGAAATGAGACTCCAGTTCTTCTCAGAGGTCCCCATCCCCATTTCTTCCTTTGAGACCCTTCTCTCCGATCGTAGAAGTATAGGATCCAGAAGCTGAAAGGAAGGGCCAAATGCAATGTGGTTACAATGCAGGAGACGGAGGCTTTCCCCATTTGGGCTACAAAACCTGAGATCTGGCAACTCTTAACACAGTTGTAAGGACACCTTTTGTCGTTGCCGGCCTTCCAGTTGTTTCCAACCCCATTGTAGAAAGATTTGCCTGGAATAGGTTTGCTTGACCTTCCTCTGAAGCTATTTATTTATTTATCTTGTCAGAAGCGAATTGAGAATACAGTTATAAAGTATAAAAAACCACAAACAAAGTTTAAAACTTCGCATTATACTAAATGTCCTTTGACCAGAAGATGGCTACTCCGAGTGCTTCTGGTGTCACTGTGACAAGGCCCTCCATTGTGCATGTGGCAGGGCTTAGACCACATTGTTGTCAGTGGTCTGTGGTTTGCTCTTCTCCGTACTCACATGTCGTGGACTCCACTTTGAGGCCCATTTCTTAAGGTTGGCTCTGCATCTCGTGGTGCCAGAGCGCAGCCTGTTCACCACCTTCCAAGTCGCCCAGTCTTCTGTGTGCCCAGGAGGGAGTTTCTCATCCGGTCTCAGCCACTGATTGAGGTTCCAAGTTTTAGCCTGCCACTTTTGGACTCTCACTTGCTGAGGTGTTCCTGCGAGCATCTTCTAGATCTTAGGAAGCTCTTTCTTGATTTAAGGCGTTGGCGTGCTGAATGGTATCCAAACTGAGGAATGTGCTGGAGATATCCATGTTTGGTCCTTTCACTACAGGCAGCTACTTCCTGATGGACATCAGGTGATGCACTAAACAGTGTAATTTCTCCAGCGTAGGGAGTAAACACCTTGTGATAATGCGGCATGTCTCATGAAGAGCCACATCCACTGTTTTAATGTGGGGAGATGTATTCCACACTGGGCATGCGTATTCAGCAGCAGAGTAGTAAAGTGCAAAGGCAGATGTCTTCACTGTGTCTGGTTGTGATCCCCAGGTTGTGCCAGCCAGCTTTTGTATGATACTATTTCTTGCACCCACTTTTTGCTTGATATTCAAGCAGTGCTTCTATTAAATCAGAGCACGGTTCAGAGTAACTCTGGTATTTGGGTGTGCTGCAATGCTCCAGTGAGATTCCTTCCCAGGTAATCCTCAGATCTTGAGATGCTTGTCTGTTCTTGAGATGAAAAGCACATGTCTGTGTTTTAGATGGATGAGGAATCAGCTGGTTTTCCCTGTCATAGGCAGTAAGAGCACCTAAAGCTTCGGAGAGCTTCTGTTCAACCATTTAAAGCTCCCGGTTTGAGTGGTGATGGCATGATCGTCAGCATAGATGAAACTCTCTGTCCCTTCTGGCAGTGGCTGGTCATTTGTGTAAATGTTACACATCTATGGAGCAAGCACGCTCCCCTGAGGCAGGGCATTCTTTTGTTTTTGTTTTTCTGAGTCTGAAAGAGTGTGATGCACCCAGGACCAGTAAACACGCAGGGATTCGAAATCAGGAAAGGAGTCCTTATCGTTGCTTTGCGGTGTCAGAGATAATGCTTCTTGCCTTGCACCCTTCTTTCACTTTGCGCTTCTAACATCCTGGGGGGGCACAGATCTCGCATTCCCTTTCCTGCGATGGCTTCGGCTCCCACGCACCCGTCCGCTTGCCTCTGCTCGCACTGAACTGCTTCACTTCCGAGCTTTGCGGGGTGAAACCTGGATGGAGAGCGGGGCTTTTTGGGGGTGCCTTTCAGGGCGGGTCTCGGTGTTCACTGTCCCTGTTTGCCTCCCAGCTATGTACTCTGTGGAGATCACTGTGGAGAAAGACAAAGTCACGGGGGAGACCAAGGTCCTTTCCAGCACCACTAGACTTCCCAAAGACCACTCAGTTCAGGGGGTCAAAGTGTACGAGGACGAGATGAAAGGTAGGCTCCGTCCGCAACCCAACATCCGAGGATGGGCCAGGATGTCCTAAGTCAATCTTGGGGACCCCCGCCAGCTGTCCCAATTACTCCTTGCTTGCCCCGCTTTCTCAGCTGCTGTTAAAATGCCCTGGTTTCTCCTTCATGCCCCGCACCTTTGTCCTCCGCTTTCCTTCAATTGCTGCCAACTGGGTTCCAAGTGCCAACCGAGTTTTGTACTCAATGTCTAGGGCAGGGCTTCTCCAACTTTTTCAGATGTGGAGCCCTTTGTGAAGCAAAAGGTTCTTGTGGAGACCCAAGAAATGTTTATATATTATATTATATGCTATCTATATATTGTATAATATTATATATTGGGGTTAAACCGCTGATCTGCAGAACTTGCTGACCAAAAGGTCAGTGGTTCGAACCCGCGGAGCAGGGTGAGCTTCCGACATTAGCCCCAGCTTCTGCCAACCAGCTGGAAGGGAAATAGGGTTTTGGAAGCAAAGGGTCTGATTTGTCCTCTTCCTTGCATCCATATTAGATGTGCTCCCCCCGTCCCGCCCCCTCAAGGTCTAAACCAGTGTTTCTCAACATGGGTGTCGGGACCCCTGGGGGCGTCAGAGGGGTCGCCAAAGATCATCAGGAAATACAGAATTTTTTGTTGATCATGGGGGTTCTATGTGGGAAGTTTAGTCCAATTCTATCGTTGGAAGGGTTCGGTACGCTCTTTGATTGTAGGTGAACTATAAATCCCAGCAACGACAACTCCCTAATGTCAAGGTCTATTCTCCCCAAACTCCACCAGTGTTCACATTTGGGCATATTGATTATTTGTGTCAAGTTTGGTCCAGATACATCATTGTTTGAGTCCACAGTGCTCTCTGGATGCAGGTGAACTACAACTCCAACACTCAAGGTCAATGCCCACCAAACCCTTCCAGTATTTTCTGTTGTTTGTGGGAGTTCTGTGTGCCAAGTCTGGTTCAATTCCATCGTTGGTGGAGTTCAGAATGCTCTTTGATTATAGGTTAACTATAAATCCCAACAACTACAACTCCCAAATTACAAAATCAACCCACTCCACCCACCCACTCCCAACCCCACCCGTATTCAAATTTGGGCGTATTGGGTCTTTGTGCCAAATTTGGTCCAGTGACTGAAAATACATCCTACATATCAGATATTTACATTGCAATTCATAATAGTAGCAAAAATACAGTAATGAAGTAGCAACAAAAATAATTTTATGGTTGGGGGTCACCACGACATGAGGAACTGGATTAAGGGGTCAGGGCCTTAGGAAGGTTGAGAAACACTGGTCTAAACAATTCCCCATAAGTGTTGTGTGGGGAATCTATGTAGCTGATGTGGTTTGATCTGAATATTTGATTCCTCTTGCAAGGCCAGTGTTTGAAAATGTCTAGCCTTGATATTAAGCAAAGACACTGAGAAGGTTTGCAAACTGAAGCAACCAAGCAAATGGGCCTTGTAAATCAGAGCAACACACTGCACCCGTAAATGAACTGGGAATGTGCACTCTGTCCTTTTGTTCTTTTTCTTTTTGGAGCTGGGTCCCACCCCACATGGGAGATTTTGCCTCTCGCTGTCAGAGGAGCCTTGGAAACTGGAGACTCAGGGATCTGGCAACCCTAATGCTAATTATCCAATCTCACTAAGATGACCGACAATCACTATGGGTTATAACTAGGACAGCCGTGTGAGAAAGAGGGCAGAATGCCCACCATGTACCACAATTTTCACACCCTTGCTGTAGGTGGAATAGCTTTGTCACATTTTGGATGAATGCGGAAGCCTTAGGTTGAATGTCCAGGGTCTTGGATTGACTCAAGAGGTCTTGCATTGAGTGTGGAGGCCTTGAGTCATGCATGGAAGGTCTTGAGCTTAGTGGAAGGCCTCAACTTGAGAGCAGAGGGTGTTAAAGAGAGTGCAGATGGAATTGGGATTAGTGGAGGGTCTTTGTTTGTGTGTGGATGGCATTAGGCTGAGCACGGAGGGTTTCGTGAGTGTGTGAAGGTCTTGGGGTGAGTGCGGAGGGGTCTTGACGTGGGTGTGGAAGGTCTTGGGAGGGCTTCTGCTAGAGAATAAAGAGTTGTGAAGAACGTGCGGAGGGCCTTGGGATTAGTGGAGTTTCTTCAGTTGTGTGTAGAAGGTGTTAGGCTGAGCACGGAGAGTACTGGGGTGAGTGTGCAGGTCTTGGGGTGAGTGTTGAGGGCCTTGTTGTGTGTATGGAAGCTTGGACTGACTGCAGAGGCTTTACTTTGAGTGTGGAGGGTCTTGGGTTGAGTGTGGAGGCCTTGGGTCAAGTGCGGAATGTCTTGGGCTTAGTAGAGGGCCTCAGCTTGAAAATGAAGGTGCTAAAGAGAGTGCAGAGGGCCTTGGGATTAGTGGAGGGGCTTTGTTTGTATGTGGAGGGCATTAGGCTGAGCACGAAAGGTCTTCTGAGTGTGTGAAGGTCTTGGGGTGAGTGCGGAGAGTCTTAGGTTGGGTGCAGAGGGTCTTGGTTGTGTGCAGAGGGTCTTGAGGTGAGTTTGGAAGTCTTATTTTCAGTGTGGTGGATTGTGAGGTGAGTGTGGAGGCCTTGGGCTTAGTGGAGGGCCCCAACTTGAGAGTGGAAGATGCTACAGAGAGTGTGGAGGATCTTCTGTTGTGTTCGGAAGGTGTTAGGCTGAGCACTGAGGGTCTTGTGAATGTGTGAAGGTCTTAGAATGAGTATGAACCGCCTTGGGTTGTGTGTGGAGGGTTGCGAAGTGAGTGCAAACCATCTTGGGGAAGTGAAAACCTCGAGGCTTGCCCGTTGACCCAGTGCTAAAACCCTGGCCCTGCTACTCATTGTGCATCCCCTCTTGTCTTTCGTTGCAGTGGTCCACGCAGTCCGGGCTGAGGACGGGGCCCTCGAGAATGGCCTCCACCAGCTCAGCTCCTCTGAGGTGGACGAGCTCCTCCACAAGGCTGACGAGGTGACCCTGAGCGAAGTCTCAGAGAAAGGAAAGGACCCGGCCAGCCAGAAGGCCACCCCCCGGAAGGAGATCACAGGTGTCCAGGCCAAAGCGGTGGAGAGCCCCAAACTATCGGCGTCCGGTGAAGGCCCCGAGCCCAGCAAAGAGCAGCCAGTCACCATGATCTTCATGGGCTACCAGAATGTGGAAGACGAGAACGAGACTAAAAAGGTGCTGGGCCTCGAGGGGACCATCAAAGCCGAGCTCGTGGTGATAGAAGATGCCGAGAACAAGCCAGCCACAGGGAAGGACCAAGCACCACCCAACGGCACCGCAGTGGAAGCTGCCACGGCCGCCCTGCAGAAGGAGGAAGGCCGAGCTGGGGAGAAGCAGCCAGCCTCCAACGACACCGAGCCCAAAGGAGCCGGGCAAGACCTCGACACCAAGAAACAGCGCTGCAAGTGCTGCTCGGTGATGTAAGAGGTACCCTGTGGCCCATCAGGACTGTCTTCCCCTCGACGACGCCTCTATGGTTACTTCCTGCGTTCTACAAACTCCTTGGTTTTCAAGAGTTCTTATTTTTACTTAAGGGTCCGCGCCGTTCATGCCCCCTTGGTTCCTCCAGAAATTCTCCTTCTCTCTCTTTCTCCTTTTGAATCAAAAAGCACTTAATATCCAAAACGACACAGTGCTGCCATCTCTGGTTTCCCTGTTGCCTGCCTTTGATATCCTTACCTACGTAATGTATTTCTCCCCATAAATGAAAAACATGTGAAATATTACATTTATTAGGCTTGGTGACCCTTTGTCTTGTCTCCGCAGTGAGACTTATTGGGGAACTTTTATATCAAAGATCCTTATTGGCCCAGAAGGCGAGAGAAGCACATAGGAAAAATGGGATTTTTGCCTATGTTTCTTTGTCACCTCCAACCAGCTCTTTTTCTGCCAGAAGAAGAGGGAAAGAAGGGAGGAAGGGAGGGAAAATCCTGGTGTTCATCCAGAGGTTGAAAAGCTCTTGGCCCCAAAGTCCTTCAGAATATCTCCCGGGTTCTTCAAGAACTTGATCTAAGCACCTCCACAAGGACACCAGAAACACAATTGCTGCCTAACTGTGAGACTGAGATGGACAAAAAAATCAGCCTCACAAGTATATATATCTCCACCTGTTTCTGGATATATCCCAACACATCTCCAAAATGCCTTGTTGTCTGCCACAGTCTAGTTGCCAAAGGAACAGCGGATGGGTTGGTAAAGTTGAAAGCTACGGCAAAATTGCCGTGGGTCTTCTGTATCTCCATCTAGCCGGGTTGCCTCTCCGGACTGCAATCTGGCAACATTGAAAAATTTGACAAGGATGTTTTTGACCTGAATCTTGAGGCTGTTTTGGGGAGAAACATACTTCTTTGCTGCTCAACAGAGAGAAAGAGCCATGCCAAATGCCAGCAAGGACACCAATGGCTGAGGGGTGCAACTGATTGGAAGTTTGGTGCAGGAGAAATGAGTCGAGAAATGGCTGGATGAGGCGCAGAGGGAGGAAACGAAAGAGTCAGAGATGGGAAATGGAGAGGGGCCATGTAGACAGGGACAACTACAAGCAGTAGAGACAGAACTATGTGAATATGTGTTGTCAAAGGCTTTCATGGCCAGAATCACTGATTTGCTGTGCGTTTTCTGGGCTGTCTGGCCATGTTCCAGAAGCATTCTCTCCTGACGTTTCGCCCACATCTACGGCAGGCATCCTCAGAGGTTGTGAGGTTTCAATATGTTTATCCTAGCTTTGGATAAAACATGCCCAACATTGATTTGGAAAGAGAAGAAAAACCCCAGTATTTGCTAAGGGTTGTGATATGAATGTTGGACTAATGCTTGGAGACAAGGGTTCGAATCCCCACTCCACTATCGAAACTTACTCTCTCTGCTTCAGAGGAAGGCCAAGGCAATTTCCCTCCAAACAAAGCACTCAGAAAATCTCCATGACAGCTTTGCTGTTAAGCTGAAACGAACTCAGAAGGCGAAGATGACAGCTTGCCTTGAAACACGTTCCCGTCTCTCTCATCCTCGTGGTCTTGAAAACATCAGATCTGTCGCAAGACATTCCCCTGCCGGGCCTCAGCCGCTCCTTCCCTGCTTTCTCTTGCCAATGTTTTCCCCCATTGCAATTTACATTCCTTGAAACACAGTGCTGTTTTGCAACTCCTTTTCCTTCCCAGTTGCGTCAGGTGGGATTCCTCTTGGGCAAGGCGAAAAAGTGTGCCGAGGGGTCTTGTATCCTGGAAGCAAAAGAAGAACATGTTTCAGACATAAAACGCATACAATCTTTGGAGACTTTTAAGCAAATCAAGGCCACAGCTCAAAGTCTGCCCGTCAGACGACATTTCATAACTTTATGGAACAGTTGCAGCCCTGAGATGAACACAGACGTTGCCAAAAAGCCATCTCTGAACAAATACACCTGAAGAAGGATGCCATCTGGTCTTTTAGGCATCGAGATATGTCTTTATTTTCTGTGTGCATTTCATAGGCCTTCAAGAGATTTCCAGCTCATGCTGATTCTGGGTCTGAGAGAGTGTGATCCTCCCAGAGCCTCCCATTGGGTTTCCATGGCCGAACAGGGATTCGAATCCAAGTCTCCCAAGTCTAATGGTCAAAATACGATTTCAGGATGGCTCTCAATGCTTTCCAGGTGGCCGCAATATTCTATGCCATTTTCTCCACAGATAGGGTTTGCCGTTGGGAGAAAGTGTGACTAGCTCAGGATCAGCCAGTGAGTTCCTGGTTTTTTTTTCTTTGTCAGCCAATCACACAGCTTCGAACTCGGGTCTCCAAAGTCAGCGCTCAAACCTCTACACTATGTAGGCAGGCACTCCTAGCATGCTACTCATCCCTTTGCCTGATTGGGATCATACCCTGCAGAAGTTACTATTTGGGGGTCTGTCCATGCCTTGGAAAAGTTACTATTGAGATGCAATCAGCTTTTCCCCACAGCTCAGTTAACGGCATCTTGTCGCATCCTGTGATTTGTAGTTTGTGGGGCTCCCTAAGCATCCTACCCCAGGGTTCCATGAGGTCCATCCATGACAGTTAAACCAGGATCACAGTGGGATAATCCTATAATGTTGATCATAGAATCATAGAGTTGGAAGAGACCTCATGGGCCATCCAGTCCAACCCCCTGCCTAGAAGCAGGAAAATTGCATTCAAAGCACCCCCGACAGATGGCCATCCAGCCATCTGTTGGCTGGATGGCCACCACACTCTGGGGCAGAGAGTTCCACTGCTGAACAGCTCTTACAGTCAGGAAGTTCTTCCTAATGTTCAGATGGAATCTCCTTAGTTTGAAGCCATTGTTCCGCGTCCTAGTCTCCAGCGCTGGAGTAAACAAGCTTGCTCCCTCCTCCCTATGAGTTCCTCTCACATATTTATACATGGTATCATGTCTCCTCTCAGCCTTCTCTTCTTCAGGCTAAACATGCCCAGCTCTTTAAGCTGCTCCTCATAGGGCTTGTTCTCCAGATCCTTGATCATTTTAGTCATCCTCCTCTGGACACATTCCAGCTTGTCAATATCTCTCTTGTGGAGCCCAGAACTGGACACAATATTCCAGGTGTGGTCTAACCAAGGCAGAATGGAGGGGTAGCATGGACTGGATATACGCCTAGGCCAGGTTTCCAATCCGAAGGGTGAGATCCTTGCTTGGTCTCATTCCAGGGTTTTTGCCTTTATTTCATGGAAGAGTCTTTTTCACTTTGGAGACTTTTCAATTGCTCACATCAATTTGTGCAAAAAATAGTACTGTATTTGGCGCATGAAACACATTTCCTTCATAAATTTTGCGTACAGTTGTGAAAACCCAACACTATTTTGGGCTAACCATTATATTTCACTGCCTGTGTGTGTGATTCATGCCCAAAGAAAAGTTTGCGATGTTAAACCAAATGGCACATTTTGAAGTTAATTTCAGTGGCCCACTACTCAGAAATAGAAAGATCACAACCATTTTCAGTATTGTTGGGTTGTATAGAAAACTCATCTTGGAAGCCACCTCAAAGGCCATCCAGTCCATGCCTGTGCACCACTCCTGAAAGATGTCCATTCAATCTCTACTGAATGTTAGGAGGAACTTAGTAATAGTAAGAGCAACTCGGCAATTGATGAAATTGCCTGGAGAGACATCTCCAAAAAGGGGATGAAAGGCTCTCAACTTGGAATGCCTTTATTGGAGTCTATATTGAGCCAAGGGTTGGACTAACTGGCCTTTGTGGGCCCCTCCAACTCTACATTGATACACCTCTTGAAAGATGCCCTTCCAAGCTCTGTTTCAAATCCTCCAAAGAGGGAGAGTCTACTATCCGCTCCTCAGCCCAATGCTTAGTGACAGGTGAAGTGTTCTTCCTAAAGTTGAGCTGGGACCCTCAAGGGCCATCCAGTCCAACCCCATTTGCAACACTCCTCAAAGTTGTCAATTCAGTCTCTGTTTCAAAGTTACAGAAGGGTAGACTTCCACTGAACTTTAGAAGGGACTTTAAAAGGCAACTCGGCAATGGAAGCTTTGCAGAAAGCAAGCCAGCACCATTTTTTCCGTGGCATCTCTTCCGAAGTTTCAAGAGGGCTCTGATGCTGCTTCTTCTCTTCACCGGCTCCCTTCGGTAGGGCAATGGTCTCTCTCTATATATATTTATATATATCCCACCCTTTTCACCCCGAAGGGGACTTGGGGCGGATCACAGAACACATATACTGAAAATATTCAGTGCCGTTATACACTAAAAGACAGACAACTTTACATAGATAGAAGTATATATAGGATTTCCCATCTTCGGCATCTTGGAGGCCAAGCTCGCTTCCAGCCACAGCCGAAGAGCTTTGTTTGTAAACTTCCTCCTTGATTGAATCTGGCATTTTTCTGGCATTTCCTTATGGGTACCTTAAATACCTTCCTGCTTTAAAGCGGTACCTATTTATCTACTCACATTTGCTTTCGAACTGCTAGGTAGGCAGAAGCTGGGCTGAAAGGTCAGGAGCTCACCCTGACCTAGGCTTTGAACTGTCAACCTTTTGATTGGCAAGATTTACTGCAGCTGGCGGTTAACCTGCTGTGCTAAAGCCTGGCCCTTTATTAGATGTGTGCAAAGTGGCTGAAATCTGATTAGTAATTCATTTAAGGGAATCTGAATCTCCGAAGCTTTGTAATTGCTTTATTAAGATTTGTTCCACTGTTTGTGTCTCTGTCATTTGTGTGGCTGCTAGGATGAAACTTGGCACACTTGTAGGCAACATTTCCGACTTTAAATCTGACAAGTTTCGGAACATTTTGGTCATTAACTGATTTTTAGGAATTTTTTAAAGGAGGAGACCAGCTTTGCAGAAAGCTGTGTGATTGGCTGACAAAGAAAAAAAAACCCAGTATACAGCTGTCATTGACAATCACAATAGCTCACTCCCACCCCAGACAATTGTGAAGTATGTTGCATTGGAGAAAAACACAGCTTGAAATGCTCAGAAAGAACAAATCTTTACTCATCTCTGAAATTGGGTTGTTGTAGGTTTTTTCGGGCTATGTGGCCATGTTCTAGAGGCATTCTCTTCTGATGTTTCGCCTGCATCTATGGCAAGCATCCTCAGAGGTAGTGAGACCTCACTACCTCTGAGGATGCTTGCCATAGATGCAGGCGAAACGTCAGGAGAGAATGCCTCTAGAACATGGCCACATAGCCCGAAAAAACCTACAACAACCCAGTGATTCTGGCCATGAAAACCTTCGACAATACATCTCTGAAATGTTTCAGTG